GTGTAGCACACAGCGCACGCCCGCCAGCGCGGAGGCGCGCCAGCTGCATCAGCTGCAGCAGCGGGGGGCCATCTGCGGGCTGGCACAGCAGCCGCAGCAGCCGCAGCTGCAGTCGTACCGCACCGCACCGTCGTAAGTGCAGACAGCCGCCGGCTAGGGTCGGTCAAGGAGCGTATAGCCCCCTCCATCGCGAAGCTCCGAGGTGGTGAGAACAAAACTGCCAGTAATGTGAGGCAGCTTCGAGGACCAGGATGTCATCCTGAGGGCGGGCGAGAGGCGCTGTGGCGCATGACTTGAAGGCGAGCGGGCCGGGCCGCACTCGCACCGCACCGCGCACACGGCCCACCGCTTGCCTTCCTTGTTTCCTTTGCCTTCGCGCGCCGCTGCAGCACTCCGTTTAATTTTAGAATCGAATTCCCCGATGGTCGTCCGTCGTCGGCGTCGTCGTCGTCTGCGTCGTCGTCGGCGGCGTCGCCTGCGCCGTCCCCACCGGTGCCGGTGGAGAGGCAGCGGCGTACAAAGCAGGGCCATGATCATGGAGTCCTCGGGCTTGCCCATAGTCAGGGCGTGTGGTGCTGGGCGCGACCATCGCACCCGCACCCCCACCCTTGTGAGCCGCCCCAGCGCACCTCGGCGGGGCAACGGTTGCGGACACTTCCTCGCGGTGCTCGCGGGGAGGTCTGCTTCGACGCGAGCGACTCACCAGAAAATGAGAAATGTAACGGGCGGCCAAGGTTGTTCGATTTAGTTGCCTCGGTTGTTGCACTTCGCACTCTCCATGTCGTTTCGTGGCGCGGGTCTGGCCGGGTAGGCGACGGCCTGGTCCGCACGGTCCGCACTCAGCCCCACCTCGGCCCGAAGCCCAGCCCCAACTGCAGCCTCACGCTCACGCCACTAGATGGCACGCCCGTGTCCCCGCCCGCCGTGGCGCGCCACCTCCCTCTTCCTTCCACTTGTGCCTCTCCGCGTCCTTCTTCCCCCGTTCCTCTTTGGCCCCTCCGGTCTTCCCTCTCCCCCTCCTTCGCTCCTCGCCGCGTCCCCGTCAGCTGTTCGGAGTGTTCCCGAGCATGCATGGGCGCGGCGGGCGCGGTCCCTGGCATCTCGTCGCCGGCGCTGCCAACTGTGAATCTGTACACGCTGCGGGATCCGTCTGTGAAACAATATTTCCTCTAGCTGAGTATCTTCTCAGACAGCTTGTAGGCTTCTTCTCACACTGATTGGAAACTAACTGTAAGTGTTAGTGCTCAAAAGGGATCGTCCGGAAAGTGCGTCCGCTTTTCTCAGGTTCATTCGGCAAGGTACGGCAGCTCGGCGCCTGTAGAACTCGGGGTAGGCCACCTAGCAGTACACGCATGCACTGCACGCAGAGATTTTGCCTGCCTACCAGGCGCTATGTGAGCATGCATAGGCTGAACTTGGCAGTTTCGTCACGGCAAATGACGGCCGTAGTTTCTGGATGATCCCGAAGTCCTCTTTTCAAAATGATTGTCACATCAGTGTGTGTTGGCGCAAGTGCGAAGTTTAAACAACCATTCTGAGTCTATCCGAATGCTCAATCGTTCCGTTCCGAACATATCAGAAGCCCTCTCCTTTCGCTCCTTTTGGACGTTATGACTCGTTGGCTCATTCCGACCTAATCAGAACGGAACTATTGAGAATTCGGATGCACACTCTGCCATCCTGTTTTTTTTTTGTGGTGCTATGATGGTAAATTTCTAAAAGGGGGACGAGCAAGCAGGTGGATAGATCACGCGTAATGTATTAGATAAAATTACCGTTAGCTGCCCAAAGGCGAGAGAGAGAGAAAAGAGATGGACAAGAGAGACAAAGGTGCCGATCGAACGCGACGACGTCGTCGGCAGCACTTGCTTGTGGCCTGCTGGGTGAATGTATCCGTGGGCTGAACACGGTGAGGCGGCCTCCGGTCCGGGGGGCCGGCGGGGCGGGGCGGCCGGGTCCTGCATGAGCCGCGTGGGCGACCCCGCGGATCGGAGCGGACTCACTGCCAGTCAGTGGGGCACGCCTTTAGGCACGCCGAGTGTGCTGGGGGCCCAGCCCGGCCGGCGCGCGCGGGGCCCGCCAGAACACCACTTTACCACTTGCCAAACTGTCAGAAAAAATAATAATAATCCTAATGCCAAATGATTGGCGTGCCGCGGACCCACCTGGTGCACATGTCGACGGCAGCGATGCCGGGTCAAGAGGTCGTAGAGTGAGATGGCTCCGTCCGGCAGGCGAGACGCATCTCTGGTCGTTTTCACTGCAACACGGTCGCAAAATTACTTGAGATATCAAAGAACTGCGGGCGGGCGACCGACGGGCGTGATGCGCCGCCCGAGGACGGTGGATGCTCATATTTTGTTTTCACTCTCACTTCTCACTCTCCGCTGACTACAACGAACGGCAGCTACTGCCGCGGCAAACGACACACGAAAGTGACGAAGATGAGAGTGAGGACAAAACGCCAGTCGTAAACGATACGGGTGGGGTGGGGGTGG